AGCCCTATATATTTATATTTAAATTGAGTGAGTGAATGAAAGGAGGGGGCGGAGTTTGTTGGAGTGAAGGTAGGAAATGGTAAGTGCCGAATTTGTCAGGTGCCCATTAAGGACATTTTTGAATTCATTGTTCGAAAGATGGAGGAAAAGATGTGCTCTTCAGCAGCCTAAACTGGAGCCCCTCAGCATGACAGGGGGAGGGGACAGAAGCCTGGGGTGGGACCGCCTAGAGCCACGTGCCCTCTCTTCTTGGGCCACACACTATCCTTACTAACTCTCCTCTGCTGGGAGGAGGGGCGTGGTGGAGAGCAGGGTAGGGTTGAGGAGTATATGTGTGCGTGTGCAGGGGGATTTAGTAACTGCCCGGGAGAGGTGGACTAAGATGTTTGAGATGAAAGCACAAAGGGAACACTTACCATGCAAATGGGCCAGCCGCGGAAGCCTGTTATCAGGAGCATCTAATGGGGTTTTGCAGGGCCAAGGCCAATGCTCCAGGCAGCGCAAGGCTTTCCTGGTTCCCAGGTCCCTGCCTGCAGCTGGCATGGGCTCTGGTGGCAGGCACAGCTCCTGGCCCCTCCAGCTAAGGATCCAGACACACTGGCATGACCTGGTGCCCTGGGAAATGCCGGTCGTGTCCTGCACCACTCACCCACCTACATCCTGGGAGCGGCCTCCTCTGGAGCCATCAGACCCTCTCAGGCAGAAACAGGGATGGGGGTGGGGATGGAAGAACAGAGCCCAGGGCGCCCCCAGGTGATGGGAAATGCTCTACACCTGCCTGGTCTTCCCCAGCTAGCCAGGGGGGCTCTCTGGGAATTTCCTCCTGCTTCCTCCGCACCCCCAGGCTGCCCATGATGGGTGGGATGGGACTGGCCAAGTTCTCACCCAGATGGGGCTAGGAGTCCAGATCTGGGTCCCTGAGACCTGCTGATTGCTCCTCAGGGAAACGGTCTGGTTCAAAATTTTCTTCTCATTCCCCTGATCCTTGGGGCCCTGAATCCAAACTCCCTCTAGACTGAGTCCTTGAGGGCAAGAGTATGTCCCAGCAGCCAGCACAGCACCCTGCATATAGCAGGTGCTCAAGAAGGACCCTTATCTGGAGCTTACTATGGGCCAGGCGCTATGGTAAGAGCTTTACAAATGTTAACTCATTCAGTCCTCAGGACAGCTTTGTGAGGGAGGCACTGAGATTATCTGCAGTCTACAGACGAGGCACAAAGAGGTGAGGTGCCCTGTCCAAGGTAGCACAACTACTAAGGGGTGGAGGTGGGATTTGAACCCAGGCAGTCTGGCTCTGGCCATGCTCTCCCACTAGTCATTCTGAGTGATAGAGGGAATGAGCTTAGTGGGTGCGTAGATGTCCCAAGGTCACCAGTGAGCAAGGACAGAAATCATCAGACCCGCACAGCCCTGAGGGCCCAGCGGCCTTGGGTCCCCTCGCTGCAGCAGGAGGTGGGTGGCTGTTCCAGGGTGAGCCCTATTTCTTCTCAGGGGTCGGCGGTTCTGGGGTCCTGATGATGGTAGACCAAAGCAGTCTCCCAGGGGGCTTTCCCCAAGGCCTAGGAGAACCTTCTTTTCCTTCCTTCAAGGTCATCCTAGATAGGGCAACTTTAGACAAAACTGTGGATGGCGTGAGCATTGGAGAGTGTGAAAGGGGGAGGCAGAAAGGGCCAGGAGTGAGCAGAGGAGATCGGGGGGCTGGGGGCTCTGTGAGATGAAGTCCCAAGTTGACTCTTCCCACACTACAAGAGGCAAGGCCCCCTGGGAAGCGGCTGGAGATGCTCCAGAAGCATCTTCTTGTGTGGAGGTGAAGTCTCCAGTCTTATCACTAAGCTAAGGGCCATGGGCCAAGGGTACGTGCACGAGAGCAGAGGGGCATGGGTGGGGGCATGGAAGGGGGCAAAATGGAACCGGCTCCATGGCGTTTTTGCTTTCTCAGTGGGAAAAGAGAGGCTGGAAGTCAGCCCGGTGGGGGGGCCCACTGGAAGCCAGAATGGGAGAGACCAGCCGGGCCAAAGCAGGTACTTACCCAACGGGCACGGGGTGGCCCCAGGTGGCCCAGGAGCCCTTGAGTCAGGCAGAAGCCTGAAGGAATACTTGTCCCCCAGCTCAGAAGAACAATTAGTAAGTTCTCAAATTATCCATCCTCGGCTTCCCAGTTCAGAACACTGATGGGCTTGCTTGGCTAATAGTATCTGACCTGACCATGGGGCAGTGTCTTTATTAAAACCCCCAAATTTGCCTGAATTCTTAAGACTGATGACATACACTTGATCTCTGGTTATGCATCTTACTCCATGGGGCTCAACTAACATGTGGGCAATTGAGATTCTGCAGAGGGATTGGTGGGTGGGATTCTCAGGCCTGGGTGACAGAGTGTAGTTTCTTGAAAGGAAGGGCTCATGCCCACTGACCCTGGAATGGACTGGAACCTGCAACACCTGGAGCACCTAGAATTCTTCTGAGGTCCAGGAAATCTTCCCCAGGGGAATCCATGAGATGGCTTGTGGAGCAGAGCTCACTAGCGTCTGTTTAAGGAAGTAAGTGGAGGTGTTTTCTAAATTTGATGTCATGGCACTATTTCTTCAAAGGGAATCTGATTGCAAACTGTGACACAGAAAACAAATGAAAGGGAAGCTGGGTCCTGGAAGGCCTCGAGCTGTCTTCCTCAGCCCTGTGGAGGTCCCGAGGGAGCCTTCTCTGACTGCAGCCCTGGGCAGACCAGGGCCCAGTGTGGCCTGAGGCCTCTGTGCGGTTGGCTGCCTTTCCTGACCATTAATCGCTACTAAGTGTCATTACTGCTAATAAAATTAACCGACTTTATACTGGACTCCTGGGGCCATCAATCACACTGTCTGTTACAAGAAATTTTTAAAAACCTAGGTGCCTGTGGATAGGGGAAAGGGTGTTTGCTGAGCCTGGCGCCCAGCATGTGGGTACTCTACAGCGGTCAGAAGGTCATGCTCAGGGAGCCTTAGTTAGACGAGGCAAGTCCAAGCCTTGCCACTGGACTGCAGACAGGAGTGCTTTCTGTTGTTCCCTGCTGGTTCTCTCCTCTGTCAATCAGCTGTTGCAAGGGAGTTCCGCATTTCTGAAACACACGAACTGTGTGAGCAGAAGTTGTCCCTCACACCAGCCCCTGGTGTGGGGAGGAGGACATCTGGGGACTAGATGGCTGGTGCCCCCTCTGTTCCCCACAGCCTCTGAGCTGCTGTCCAACCTGGAAGCCAGTCGGGGTGGGGTCTCCTCAGCTGGAGTGGACATCAGGTTCTGCTCTGGACCTGCCAAGGCTCAAGCTCTAAGGGTTTCCTGCCAGGCTGCAGGGAGGGGTTTGGGTATAGACTTGGTGGACTGGAAATTTACCCATTTGCCCCCAGATTAATGATTAACAGGTCCCTGCCCTCACCCTGTCTCGGAGGAGAGCCCAGGGCCAGGTTGGGCCAGGAGGAGCCTGATAGCATCTGTCTCTGCTCAGAGGTTTCGGAGATATGCTCCACACTGGGTTGGCTGCATCTGATGGATTGGGAATCTGTGGGCACTTTCTGGGGGCACCTGGGGCCTGGCCAGGACCCACGCTCTCCCTGAGGCAGAACAGGAGGGTGTGGCCTCCAGCCAGATGTCCTGACTGGGTCAGGTGACTTTGAACTGGACAGCCATGTCTTTGGTTCTGTGGGACATGGGACTCTCTGACCACTTGGGGCCTGGCCAGGGCTTGATGAGCAGCAGTGATAAGTGTCAAATCGAAGCAGGAGCTCTTTTACCTTGGCCATGGTCCAGAAAGGGGCTGCTTCCCCTAGCACGGATCCTGGAATGATGTATATGCCACCCACAGTGAGAGCCACCAGCATATGGGACAGCAAATATTTTGAACTAGGAGAGGCACCTCACAGAGAGCTTCTGGGGAGAGGGCGGGTGAGCCCTAATTCTAGTCCCCGTCTTGCTGCTGATGTGCTTTATGACTTGGACCACTCACTGCCTCTTCATAAAACCTTTGTTTCCTTATCTGGACAAAGGGAAGACTGTCCAGGATAGAGAGTAACACATCTTGCAAGGGGAAAGGATTTGGAGAAACTCCAGCTAGCAGGAAGGTGACCCAGCATGCCCCAGGCACCACGGTTGGTACTTTTCACATAATCCTCCCAGCTGCCCTAGCAGGTCGAGGTAATCACTCTTTCCAGAGCCGAGAACCAAGGCTTCACGGGGATGCAGCTGGGAAGTGGCTGTCAGCTTCAGATTTGGGAGCCTGACTCCAGAATCCGTGGACTTCAGAACAAGGAGTCTGGGGCTGATGGCCTGATGAAAAATCAGCTCTTTTCCCTTCGTTTGCCCATCTGCCAGTCCATCTGCCCATCCATGCATCCTCTTCTTTCCTTCCTTCCCTCCTTCCATCCATCCAGGTATTCCCCAAGCATCTCTTTGTAACAGGTATCGAGTGGCCAGATGAAGACGTATTTGGGAATTATGGAAACAGATTGGCCTGAGATTACTTGGGTGGCAATGTAGTGTAAGGGAGAGAGGGCTGTCAGGGGACTGGCCACGTGCCTGCCTGACATCAGCTGCCTCTGCTGCACCTGCCTTAGGCACATGACTCCGTCTCCAGGCAGCAGCCAACACTACATGCAGCATTTCCCAAACTCCCCTGATCATAGAAGCTGTCCAGGGAATGTGGTAAATATACAGATTCCTAGGCTCCACTCCAGACCAATAGAATCAGAAATACCAAATGTGGATCCCTGGAATCTGGATTTTTAGTAATAACCCCAGATGATTTTTATGATTGGGCAAGTTTGAGAAATGGAGGTGGGGGTGGTAAGAAGAGCAGAGACCTTGGCATCTGGAAAACTCGTGTTTGACATCCTGTGCCAGCCCTTGTTATGAGCTCCTTGGTTTCCTACTCTGTAAAATGGGGACATAACCCCCAGGGGGCAAACCTGCCTCCAGCAGGGCAGTAAAGACCCCCAGGGGTCGCTCACTTGTCTCCCTTCTCTCGATCTTTCTAGCCTGACTGGGCGGGAGGTCCTGACGCCCTTTCCAGGACCAGGCACGGCTGTGGCCCCAGCCCAGGGAGGGGCCCACCTGAAGCAGTGTGATCTGCTCAAGCTGTCGCGCCGGCAGAAGCAGCTGTGCCGGCGGGAGCCTGGCCTGGCTGAGACTCTGCAGGATGCCGCGCACCTCAGCCTGTTGGAGTGTCAGTTCCAGCTCAGGCAGGAACGCTGGAACTGCAGCCTGGAGGGGAGGACAGGACTGCTCAAGAGAGGTAGGGAGGAGGGCAGAGTGGAGGAGGAGGGCAGGGGGCAGGAGGAGGGCAGAGGGGAGGTGGGCAGAGGAGGGGCGGGAAGGGGAGGAGGGCAGGGGGAGGACAGAAGGTATGAGACACAAGGAGAAAGCCGCCCTTTCAGCTCCCCTGGCCTCTGTGCAGGCCACACTGCCCTTGCAAACCCAGCACAGTCTTGAGTGAGAAGAGTCTGGGAGTTAATGAGGCCCAGCCTTCCCCTCACTTTTTAGGGAGAGAAAGAGCAAGGTGACTCAGGAGAATAGGCAGCACATCCCATCCCGGAGGAGCCCACAGATGAGATGGGTGGTCTGCCAGTCCCCTCTAGCAGCCTCCTCCGCGTGCGTGCGCGCACACACACACACACACACACACACATGCATGCACAAAACAAGGTGCAAGAACATACAAGTATGGAAGGCAGTCTTCCAAATAGCATGAGACAGGCCGAATTCATTGTTCACTCAGCATCTGTTTCTTTGTTCAGCACATCCATTGCTCCATCATTCCCTCCTCCCATTCCCGCAGCCTTCTTCCCTTCCTCCTTGCACCCCTCCAGGCCTCCAAGGCCATTCTTTCACTAAGCATGTGGTTAGGCTTGCCCGGGATGGAGCTGGGCACGGTGCCAGTGATACAGAGCCAAATAAGACCCCATCTGCCCTAGGGAAGGCTACAGGCCTGCAGCCTGAGGCAGAAACAGGTCATCCCGCAACGCAATCACCAAGCAGCAAGGGCTTTTACAAAAAGGCACTGGTGGTAATAGGAGCAACCAGCCCCCTTCTAGGCCAGCTGCTCTCTGTGGCTAGGGAGGATGTGCGGTGGGGCTGATACCATCGTGCCCACCAGGGTCACCAGCCCCCAAAGTGCGCGGGATAGCAGGCAGGGGGAGAATGGGTTTGGGCGATGCCCTAACAGTGCAGAGTAGTAAAAGTTCTAGATGTGGGTGGGGTGGTTATTCTGGGACTACTCAGGCAGGAGACCCAAAGTCACCCTACCATCGGGTCTACTCCACAGTAGGTCACAGGGAATAACATCTGAGAGGTATCATGACGCGCAGGATGCCACAGGGCATATTTCAGGCATCAGGGGCCCCAGAAACGTATTGGTCCAATTTGCTCACACATTGATTTGGAGTCAAGATCAGTGGTTTAGCTCCAGCTCTGCCCCTTGCCAGGGGCCTGTGTCCTTTCTCTGGGCATCACAGTGTCCTCATCTATTCAGTAGAGGCAGTAACCCCTGTCCTGCCACCCTGGGACTCCTGGCACAGACTTCATAGTGAATTTGAACATTTCATTTAAGCAACAACTTGCAGCCAGAGTTTAAGGGGCAGGTGACAGGAAGTTGCCCTGAGATCTGTCCACATACCTCTCTTCTGGCTCACCTCAGTGCCCCCAGTGCCCCCTTCTGCCCTCAGAGAGCACCAGGCGGCATCTGAGCCCACTCTCCTCCTCCCTTCTGGACCCCCCTGCCTGGCCCAGGTTTCAAGGAGACGGCCTTCCTATACGCAGTGTCCTCGGCGGCGCTCACCCACACTCTGGCCCGGGCCTGCAGCGCTGGGCGTATGGAGCGCTGCACCTGTGATGACTCTCCGGGCCTAGAGAGCCGGCAGGCCTGGCAGTGGGGTGTGTGTGGCGACAACCTCAAGTACAGCACCAAGTTCCTGAGCAACTTCCTGGGGCCCAAGAGAGGGAGCAAAGATCTGAGGGCACGAGCAGATGCTCACAACACCCATGTGGGCATCAAGGTGAGCATCTTCCTGCGCAGCCCAAAGCCCTTCCCCAGCCAGGGAACATTTTACAGATGGGGAGATGGAGGAGGACCAGAGTGGGAAAGGGACCTAGCATAGGACACACAGTAGTAGGAGGGCTGGAGGACAAAACTATCTAGGTCTATCAGGATGAGAAGGCTGGGGGACGCTAGGGTTCTAGTTCTTTAAGAAATCGAGTTCTGTGTCCTGTGTTCTCATCCCTGTGTTGGTGTGAACCAGGGCTGCTATGTTCAGTTGTACAAGCTCTCTACTGCACAAGAACTCCATTGCCAAGGGAAGGATCCAGCCCACACTGCTGTCACCAAGGTGTGCATGTTGGCACAGGGCTGCTTCTGCCCAGTGGAGGAAGGACTTGAGCTAGTGTGCACAAAGGAGCCACGTGGGCTAGCTGGAGTCCTGTTTACCCTGGCCATGTGAACCGTCCCCATCTCTCTCCCATCCTCCTGCCACTCCCCTACCAGGGTTGGAGTTCTGGAGGCAGGCTGGGGCTGTAGGCTCTGGGCCTCTGACCACGCCTCCATTCTGCCTCTCCTCTCAGGCCGTGAAGAGTGGCCTCAGGACCACGTGTAAATGCCACGGTGTGTCAGGCTCCTGCTCTGTGCGCACCTGCTGGAAGCAGCTCTCCCCATTCCGCGAGACAGGCCAGGTGCTGAAGCTGCGCTATGACTCAGCCGTCAAGGTGTCCAGTGCCACCAACGAGGCCTTGGGCCGCCTGGAGCTGTGGGTGCCCTCCAGGCTTGGCAGCCCCACCAAGGGCCTTGCCCCGCGGCCTGGGGACCTCGTCTACATGGAGGACTCGCCCAGTTTCTGCCGGCCCAGCAAGTACTCGCCGGGCACAGGGGGCAGGGTGTGCTCCCGGGAGGCCAGTTGCAGCAGCCTCTGCTGCGGGCGGGGCTATGACACCCAGAGCCGCCTGGTGGCCTTCTCCTGCCACTGCCAGGTGCAGTGGTGCTGCTATGTGGAGTGCCAGCAGTGTGTGCAGGAAGAACTCGTGTACACCTGTAAGCACTAGGCTCGCTGCCTGTGTGCCCTCTGGGGACTGCCAGGAACTCCCACGGTGCCCGGCCACCTGGAGGCCACCCAGCGGTCCAGCCAGCGCCCGGCAGGCACACACAGTGTGCACGAGCTCACCAGTATGTGCCAGTGTAGACACTCCTCCCTCCACCGGGCCTGAGCAGCCTTCTCCTCCCTCAATACTCAGCAAAGAGAAGTTCAGGCCCCACCCCTGAACCTGAGGGCACCCAGCCTTGTTGAGGACTTGGAGCAGGAGGGCAGTGGGAAAGAATGTGAAGGAGAACAGGGAGACCAAGAGGAGGGCAGGACTGAAGCTTTGGAGGAGGAAACAGGGTTCATCCTGCCATCTCAATTCCTGGGCTGAGAGGCCTGGAGACAGCCGGATGCTGGGAGGCGAGCCGCTGGGCCGGGAAGACCTGGGGAGGCAGGGCTGGCTGGAAGCAAAGGCTGGCATCTGGCTGGAATGGGTCCGTCCAGCCCGCAGGCCCTGCTCAGATTGCAATGAGCCCGGGGGCCGTACGTCTTCACTACCCCTGTGGTTTTGCTGTGCTAAAGAAGGGGCCAAAGGCCAAGTGGTAGGAGCTGTTTCTTTGGAGAAAGGCAGGCTTTCTGGGCTTGAGGGGACCCAGCTCAGATATGTGGCCAGGAGCCCTGTGTCCTTGATTTGCTTTATAAAATAGGCCTGCACTGAGGCTTCATGCTTGTGTTAAGAGCTGAGTTACCCACACCCGCCCACTCTGCTCAGTAAGAGCAGCAGGGATGCAAGGCCAGCAGGGAGGACTGGTTCCCCGGGTGGGGCTCAGACAGTGCACCAAGGTTGCTCAGGAAGATGGTGACCCCACACCCACTTCCCTCATTTACCCTGGGACATGGAACCTTTAGTCCGTCCCGGGAGAGGGTGACAGTAGCTCAGTTTCTCAGCCTGCTTTGGTCAACTGCCCGTGGCTGCAGTCCACCTGTGCAGTGAGGTCCTAACGCGGCTGACATTCATGATACAGGGGAGATGGTTTCTGAGTTCTGATGCTGGTTACGTTTCTACTCTTACAGCTACTCACCTAATTAGGTTTTGTGCCCTGGTGGGAGGTATTGGTGCAGGAAAGCCTTTGCTAAGCCTAGCTCCTTGGGGACCCCTTCATTTACTAATGGCCCCTGTCTTTGGTTCTTAACTGAGGAATAGAAGTGACTTTGCTCTGATCCTGTGGACATTTCCAAGGTCACCTCCTAAGCCCTGTGTGGGAGGAGGAAAGAGAAACTGGAATGGACACACACATATGCACCCCTTAGGCCTGCCAGGCTGAGGGTTCCTGTCTAGTGGCACACACCTCTCTGGTTCAGGACCAAGGTGTCAGTGGCAGGGGTCGCTCTGCTGGAGGCTGTGTGCTTCCCCGGCACAGGGCCCAATGCCAGCCAGGGGGAGGTGCCCTCCTTTGGGAAGCCCTTGGCCGCTTTGCCTGTCCTGCCACACCCTCCGTCAACTTCCTTTCTCCTTGAACCCAGAGGTGCTGACCCTCTGGTGAAACAGGAAGCTTCTGAGTTAGCTGAATGCTCAGAAGCCATCGTGCATGCCCCAGGAAGAAGCCCCTGGGGCTCCCTGAGACCTCCAAGGGGTAGGAGGCATGGCCCGTCCTTAGGCGGATCAAGGAAGCCTGGGAGGTGCTGGAAGGATTTTTGGCTGCAGAGACTGATGAGAAGCCAAACGGACCTGAGGGCCCCCCAAGACTGGCTTTGCTGACCCGAGCAGTTGGCCCACATCTTGGCAAAAAGAGCAGAAAGGAAAGAGGGCTGATTTTTCTAGTTTCTTCCATTCTCCCACCACATGGAGACTTCCTCTCTGCCAGCCTGATCCATCTTGCTCCGTACACCTGGCTCAGCCCCAGGCATGAGGCAGTGGAGGCCTCACTGGCAAGAAGAAGGGACCTCATCTGCCAACATGCCGTCTTTGCCCCAGCTTCATGGCCACCAGTGCTGGGGCTGAAGGAGGATAAAGGGCCGGCTCTGAGGGCCCCTCAGCCTGCAGGGCCCTGTCCAGTCCTCTCCCTCTCTCCTCTTCCTTGCTCCCACCCCTATTGCCCACACAGGTCCACCTCAGCCCTGCTAGGGCCCCTGGGGACCAGTGACCACAAACCCTTCTATTCTACAACTTAAAGGGAAAGACTCACAGGGTATTTT